GGACAGTCATAGAGATCATCATGCTTCTAGTAACCTCTAAAAGATGTCTGTTCTTCCTTTCCGCTATCCTATTCTGAGCTAGTGTGTATAGACATGTAGTCTAGTACTGTATTTCCTAAGCTGACAAGTATTCTTCAAGCGCTCTGTTGGTATACTCTGTCCCATTATCAGACCTCAAAACCTTCACCACTGCTCCGTATTGAGTCTGAACATACATATGAAAGTTTTAGAAGCAACCAAACACTTCATTTTTATTTTTCATCAAGTATAACCAAGTAACACGAGAGAAGAAATCAATGAAGGTAACAAAATACCTGTATCCATTCATAGAACTTGTGGAACAAGGCCCCCAAACATCTGAATGTATCAGGTCAAATGCATGAGAACTCCTATGACCAGAACTAACATAAGAGCTTCTAGTAAGCTTACCAAACTCACATGTATCGCACACAAGTTTCTGTTTATTTGCTTTCTCAAATAAAAATGGATACAACCTACTTAAAACACTAAAGGATGAGTGTCCTAAACGCTGGTGATGAAGCATTAACACACTCTTAGCACTCATCTCAGATCCTACTCCTGCTCTCTCTACGATTGATACCAATGCTGAATCTAGCCCTTCATGATCCAAGTACCACAGTCCACCACTCCATGTGCTAGTCCCAAGTCTCTATCCTGTCCTCTTTTCCTGGAAGATCACCTTGGGAATGTCAAAAGAAACAATGCATTTTAGTTGGAGTATGATAGCATTAATGGATAAAAGATTGACTGGAAAGGAAGGAGTATGCAAAACATTGGACAAAGTTATGAAACATGTACAATTGACTGTACCCTTACCAATCACTGGCTGAGATGTACCATCAGCTAATTGGATACTATCAGCCGATGCTAGGTGAGTATATGATGAGAACTCACTAGCATTACCTGTCACATGTCAAGATGCACCGGAGTTGACTATCCATTTTGATGATCTATCGGGAGACAGAAGCAAGAGCATGTATGTCATCAGTACCTTTGGTCGGATGAGCATAAGTAGCAATGTCGCCTCTGGCGAAGAACGAAGTGGATGCCTCCTCAGTCCCACTCCTCATGTCTCCATCTCCTGCTACTTTCTGCTTTCTCCTGAGTATCTCCAAGAGCACATGATCCTCCTCAGTAAAGATCACCTCAGCTGCTTCTTCTCCCTCTGCTACCATCAGATTCGCCCGGTTGTCAGCTTCTCTTCCACCTTGTCGACCCCCACGGCCACGGCCACGACCTATGAACTGTCCACGTCTACCCGATTCTTCTTCCTTGGGTGTCTTGGTACAAGCATGTCTTAGATGACCCACTTCACCATAGTTATAGCACTGCCGAGTCTCCCGCTTGGATCCAGTGTTGTTAGAGGCCGTCAGTGCTGACTTCACCACAGGAAGTCCACTTGCCCCCGCCTGCAGCCTAATACGAGTCTCCTCCTGGATCATGGCCGAGACTGCCTCCTCAAGTGTGGGAATCTTCGACTGAGCTAGCAGTAATGCAATCCTCTGAGCAAACTCTGATGCCAGCCCCTTGAGAAACACCATAGTCCTCTCCTGTAGAAAGGCCTCTCGCTCCTTACACTCCGGGTCATTGTCGCTGGCCCGAGGTGAGAAGTGATCATAATCTAACCACAGGCGCTCCAGCTGTGGCATACTCCTATACAGTCCTTTCTCCCTGAACTGTGGCGTTGATTTCCCCTTTGATCTGGAACACCCTCAGGTTATTCCCCACCCCATCATAGGTCCTTCTCAACTTCTCCTAGACATCCTTCACCTTCTCAATGCCATCCACTATGGCGGCGATCGATTGGACCAATGAGTTGAGGAGCCAGATGTACACCAACATATGAGTGGACTTCCACTCATCTCTTCCTGCCGACCCCTCAGCCGGCTCTATCTTCTCTCCTGTTAAGTACCCCTCTAGGTTCCTCCCTGCAAGGGTGTATCTCACTCGCCATGACCAGCTCAGGTAAGTCATCGGTCCATCAAGCTTCAGATCGATGGGTGGAAGTTCTAACTTCGCCTGTGGCTGTGTTGTGCTCTCACCAGCCGATAACTTCATCAACTGTATCAAAGTTGAGACCTCCGTGGGGTTCAACTTCTTAATGATCTCCTCCATCGATCAGGTTCTGGATCAAACCTGTTTTCCTTCTCTTCGAACCCTTGTTGTGCGCAGTGAAAATTTCAGCAGCACTTCTGCTGCACAACAAGAATAAGATCTCAACCAAATTCTTGTTTCTCAAAGGAAACAAGAATCAAAAGTGATATATCTCAACACCGTGAGATATACACTTTTCCTCTCATCAGTTCTAGGACTGACATATCGAGGGAATCGAACAAACTACACATCCTCTCATCAGTTCTATGATTTATATGTCAAGGGAATCCAACAAACTACACAGTCATCTCATCTGACACGAACTTGGGCAATGGAGAGTTTGGTGGGGTTCTCTATTCGTAGCGGTAGGGTTATGGTTTGGATGGACTAAAGGACAGATCGTGGGGCTGCTGGATGGGTGTTCGTGGTGTTCAGGTGTTCATGGGGCTACTGGATGGGTGTTCGGGTGCTGCTGGTGTTCATGGTGGTTGGATCGCTGGTGGAGTTCAGGTGTGTGGATGTTCGGGTGATGTTCGGATGGCTAGATAGCTCGAGTGGCTGAATAGTCGGGTGGTGTTCGGGGTGCTGTTTGCAGCGGAAGCGGGAGGTGGGTGTTGTGGTGTATCTAAGGGTTTGTAGTGAAGGGGAGCACAGGGTGTTGGCGGCGGGGCAAGAGGAGGAGGGGGGGGGTAGTGGTGGGGCGACGACTAAAGGTTTTTGATGGCTAGAGCTCTGATAGCCATAAAAGATGAATGGAGAAAACCCTAGATTTATTATGATACCTCTTGGGCCTTATATAGGCCCCTACAAACACAATCTTACAAATAAACCTCTAAATGTTATCAATATGTCAACTATATATATATATATATATATATATATATATATATATATATATATATATATATATATATATATATATATATATATATATATATATATATATTAATATATATATATATATATATATATGGGTATGCTTGGTAAGCACAAATTTTGTGCTTGGTAGTGAGGTGGCACATCCCCTCCACTCATTCAAATTGGGGACCACATTCACATGGGTTGATGAGTGCATGATGATGTGCAACCATTTGAATGAGTAGAGAGGGATGTTGTTAGCACCCTAGAGGGGGGTGAATAGAGTAAATACTAATTTAATTTGATATTAATGTCAATTAAAACTTATTAACAAATATACCCTAGCAAGATAGATATTCTATTGAATTAAATCAAGGATATATATGCAAAGTGAAAGTAAACAAGAAACGATATAAACAAATAGTAGACACAATGAGCAATCCAAACACAATAATATGATCATAGAGTTTGGTCCTTCCGACCTACGCCTCCGATCCCACTCTCGGGGAGAATCCATTATCACGACGGGTTTTCGACATTCACCCAAAACGTTCACAGTCGGTTTTCAATGCTTATCAATAAACGTTTACAACACACACAAAATAAACACACTCTACATCCTTTAAGTGTTTGGCCTAGTCCGTGTCCTCTTTCTCAAGTGCTCGGATTTATAACCTCTCTCTAGGCTTTACAACCTATGCCACTCTTCTTGGAATCAACCCCGTCTCTCCCCAATCACTCCTCTCGGTTTATAAGTATATTACAATGTGTAATTCACAATTAAGGCTCAAATACAAATGATTTGTTCTCTATAATGGATGAGAATACAATGTAAGCTCATTCTCACAATACCACAATCGCACAACCCAATATATAATGTATAAAATACTAAAAGCTCAAATAGGGATATGTGTGATAAAATAAGTTCAATAAAATCTGACTCAAATAATAAACTAGCAATGATATAGATATGAAAATCAAGAATAAAATGCTAGATAAATGAGTTAGGAAAACCTCTCTATAAACACAAAGAGAGGATGGGAGTGATTAATGATGAATTCCTCAATCGACAATGTAAGCCTCCTCTTTGTAAACAAACCCGAACTTGAAAAGAAACTTAAACGATGTTTTAAACCCTTTGAAACTCTTGTTAAAACCCACTTAGATAATTTTAGAAGTGAAACAGTAAGGGTATTTATAGGATGAAAAACCAAAGCCCAAAAACCAAGAAAAACCAGCAAAAAGACAAAAAAAATAGAAAGCTAGAAAAACTAGCCGTTACAGGCATCAGTCAACTGATATTGTTCATCAGTCGACTGATGAGCTGATTGTTACAGGCAACTGGCAGCTCATCGGTCGACTGAAGACCTCATCAGTCAACTATGAGTAATCAGTCGACTAATAGTTTATCAGTCGTTAGAACAGATAGTTTTAACAATTCTAAGTGTTTTCATCAGTCGACTAATAAGGACCATCAGTCGACTAATATAAGGTTTATAGTTTGTTATGAATAGTAAAAACAAATTTCAAACCTCTCTTAAAAATAGCAAATAAATTATAAAAAATATAAAACTTTGGGAAAAGTTTATATACATAAATATGAACATGTTGGAAAAGGACTTTTTTAATTTGTACTTACCATTTGTGAAATCTCAGAAATATTCAAAAACACTAAAATACATGTGTATTTAAACATGTTAATTTTGACATTTTGCTAAAATCAAGTTTTGAAAACTTGTATAATGTTTTTATAGACTTAATAAAAGATGTTTATAATGTTTATATAGTCCAAAGCATATTAAAATATTTTTGACATATTGATATTTATAGGATGAAAAACCAAAGCATATTAAAATCTTGTGTTTGGTGTTTTTGGGCTCAGGGAATTATGGCTTTGTTTTTGGGGGTTTTGGGAGCGTTAAGAAGTCTTGGTGGGGGTGGGGGGTGGGATTACTTGTAAGGAAATTGAATTTCCCCTTGTTTTTTTTCTTCTTTAGCTAACAGCTCCTACGACGGGGTCCATCGAAAGACCAACAACTCCCTTAAGCGCACAGAGACTTGTTGTCATTTTACTAGCTTAACTTGTTTCACAAAAGTCATCACCGTTGAGAATGCTCTTCCACAAACCATCACTCCTCTTCCTCAACAGCTTGCTGAGAACCAATAAGCTTAGCCCACGGATCCCAGCTCCTTTGCTTTCCCTTGGACCGTTCAATTCTCTGTCTCGTTCATTTTCTCAAGATAAAGAGCAATTTCTGGTTATTTTCTAATTTTTTTTGCTTATGTTTTCAAGTTATATACTCTTTTAATTCTGATTGGTTTGCGCTCTGTTTGTAGAGAATTATTGATCAATGTTCAAAGTTATGAAAGATTTTGGTCCTCTTCCTTTACTTTGAGAACTGTATGGTTCTCTGCTTATAGAATGATTGTGATTCTTTCTGATCATAGGTTAGGATTCTGTGCAATTTGTACGGGCATGAATATGAGGAAACTGAGCTTCGAAACACACAAATGTTTTTGTGCATCTTGAAAATTGTGATACACTTTAGAGTAGATAAATTGTCCCTTCGTAACCCCCCTTGCAAGCGGCATAGCTGTTGGGGATTGGGGCGTTGGCTTAAAAGGCTAAGGATGGATGAAAAGGCCAATGTTCGACCCGTGTCTGTGGCATGTCTATCCTCACTTTTTAATTATCAGGCATTGAAACACTTATGCTATTTATCTGGGCCTAGACTGTGACTTGTGTGTCTTCTTTAACTAGTGCATAGAATTAGTGATGTGGACAGGGATTCCTTGATAATTTCTATATAAACTTATGAAATAATTTTATCCTCTATTCTTCCTCTAGTTTGAGATTTGGAAGATAATCTTTGGAAAGCTATGGCACTTAGAATGATTGTGATTGCCCAGAAAGCAGGAATAAATGCAATTTACCAGAATATTGATGGTGGATACCATAAACATATGACTAAAATAAACCTCTAAACACAAGTAGCTTCTGTATCTTGTAAATTATGATAATTGTAGGCTATATCAGTATTAAAATTTTGCGGTGTACAATTACCCGTGAAAAAAAAAACTAGGCAAGGAAAAACTATTAGGCACAATGAGGATCTTCAATGGCTAGTTCAAGTAAGGACATGACTAAGCGTATGGTTAAAGATTTTGAATTGGGTGGACAATTTAAGATCATGGTGGATAAAGTCTCTATTTTTAGCACTGAGATACTTTTAGGATAAACTTTGTCCCATTCTTTGCTATGCGTTTGTTAGGCTATCAATAGAAATGGTATTGTAACAATGTCTTCTTCAGCTCGCAGTTTTCATAATTTTTTTTTTACTTTTGGTCATTTTTTTTTTTTTTTTTTTGCGTATATCTACTGAATGCTTCTTGTAGCCTTCATATTTGCTAGAATCTCTTCGCTCCCTTGAAATCTCTCTGATTCTAATAATGTATCCCTTCATTTGGTGCACTGAAACTCAGAGAGATCGAGGACATACCATCCGTAACCCTGCAAACTACATTCCTCTCACTCCCCTCAGCTTACTTGAGCGTTCTGCACTCGTCTATTCCAATCGCCCTTCGGTAATCTATGGGTCTCACATATATACATGGATGGAGACCCATCAGCGATGCCTCCGCCTTGCTTCTGCCCTCAACAGGTTGGCTGTTTCTCATGGCGATGTTGTAAGTTCACTCTCTCTCAATATTGTCTTTTCTGTTTAAATGTATGACGTTTAATAGAAAGTATTGAGCTAGGGAGAAAACAATATGTACCCACAGCTAATATTTGGTTCCTCGATGGACTGATATTTTCTTTCTTGCACTCGTACCTGTCATTTGATGCTCATAATTGTGCAGCCATTTGGTTTTCATCCCCAAAAACATGGTCAGTATTTGACTCCAATTCTCGTCCCTTTCACTTGACTTCAACTCTTGTAGCTATCATTTATGCACATATCATGATTATGGAGCCAATTGGTTTTCAGCCGGCTGATTTGTGAGACCAATTATTTAATTTGCCTTCCAGGCTGTATACACGGCTGCAATACTTTCATGTTTCTTTCCCTGTCATTTTATTGTTGGAGAATTGTTGAAAATCGCATGAAAAAACAGTTACAGGAAACACTCTGGTTGGTCAACTGATGGGTGTGATCAGTCGACCGATAACGTACACACTGCAGGAATGGAAAAACCCTACATTGGATAGTCGACTGATACACCTCTATCAGTGGATCGATGAAGACCTACCGGTCAACTGATGGGAAGTCATCAGTCGACCGATAGCAGGCCAGGAGCGGATATTTGTTTCCTAGCCTGTTTTGGATTTGAGTTGTTTATAAATAGAAGCATGTCTTGCTAGGGTATTTTATCAGAGAAAAGTGAGTTGTTTGAGCATTTTGAGAGGGAGATTATTGAGAGGGAGTGAGATCTTGTTGGTTAGGGTTATTGTGATTGTTTGAGAGTTGTAACCCATTGTATTTCTCCTCCGTATAGTGAAATCTCCCCATCCTCTCCCCGTGGACGTAGGCAATTTACCGAACCACATAATTCTCTGTGTTTGCGTTGATTTTGGTCGTTCTATTATGGATTGCACTAGTTGTGATTCTCCGTACATTACTTACCATCTCATTGTGAATTTTGAGTCCGCTTCCATCGGGCGCAACAATCGGTATCGGAGCCTAGGGTTTCAGATCTAGGGTTTGATTTGGGTGGAGGAAAATTCGGTGTTGGAAGTTTGGATTTTGAAGATCTAGGTTTCAGTAGAGATAGCATTGCGGAGTTGCCATTGGAGATCTCACCTTCCTCGTGTGGTTGGGAAATCGTTTTGGAATCTAATCTAGGGTTCAATTCAGTAAGCAATGGCAGGAGAAAGTGGCGAAAGTAGCAAGGCTACATCGAGTACAGTCCAGGTTGCACTTCAGAATACGAAGATAATGTTGTGAAGTATGACGATAAATTCAACTTTGGATTGTGGATTAGTGATGTGTAGGATGCTTTGAATGCTCAAAACTTGAAAGAGACGATAATGACTCATGAGAGGCACTTGAAAGAGACGATAATGACTCATGAGAGGCCACCTAAATATGATAAGGCGATATAGGATAAGATAAATCGAAATGCTTGTGGGGTGATTAGATCTTGTTTAGAACATGAATTAAAGTATGATGTTATTGGCGTGATGTCTGCGATGAAGATGTGGGAGATTCTTAACAACAAATATCTTACGAAGAGTGTTGAGAATCGGTTATACTTGTTGCAAAGATTATTTAGATTCCAGATGTCCAGGGGTACCTCACTTACAGATCATGTGAACAAGTATAGAAAGTTGTTGTCAGAATTGGCCAATGTTGATGAGAAGATATCAGATGAGTATAATGCGATCATTTTATTAGGCTCATTACCTGATGAGGATTTTGACACCTTTGTGCTTATATTGTTGAATGGTAGATCTTCCATCATCTATAGTGAAGTGACTAATGCATTGATAAATTTTGATTTGAGGAGAAATGATAAAGAATCTTCCAGAGCTAGTACTTCAGGAGAAGCCTTATCGACAAGAGGAAAGAGTCCCTATTCTAGAGGTGGTAATCGAGGTAGGGCAAAGTCAAGAGGCCACTATCAAATTGTGAAAAATTAGTGTGCTTTTTGTAGAGAATAAGGACATTGGAAGAAAGATTGTCCGAAGCTGAGAGAGAAGGAGAATAGCAAGAAGAAGGGCCCGAAGGCCAGTGAGGTGAATGTTGCTAGAATTGGTGATGATTTCGATGATTTATGCTTTTCTCTTATGATTACTCCAGAGATTAACCATGTGGAAGTATCAGATTGGATGTTGAATTTGTTAGGTCCTTTTGTTTTGATGATGATTTACAAACAATTTATATCTAATGTTATTTATCTAGTATTTGTATTTTGTATTTATTCTAGGTAAATAATATGTTAGAGGATGGATGCAATCGAGCATTCAGGATCATATCCAATAGAGGTTTGCGGAATTATGGTATGAAGCAATACAATTCAAGTTGAAGATCCAAGTTCAAGCTTCATATACAAGTTTATCAAGAAGAGCTTCATTGAAGATCACAAGCTTGGGTAATTTAGTTTTAAGTTTATACTTGTGTGTAGATACTTTAAGCTCATATTATTCACACACACATATTTGTTAATTTTATCAAACTATAGGTGTTTTTGATAAAATATTATTTTATTATTTTATAGACTTTAATATCAGTTTATACATATTTTATTAACTCTATAAAATCAGTTTATAAAGTTTCAAAACATGGTTTAGCTAAAATATCAAAAACATGTGTTTTGTATTTTTATGTTTTGGACTAGTACTTTTGAAAAAATAATGAGTTTTCACAAATATGAAGTGTAATTTCAAAAAAAAAAAAATTGTAACATGTTCATTAACATGTTTATAAATATTTCCTAAAGTTTTATATTTTTTGGAATTTATTTGCTATTTTTAAAGACACTTCAAAAATTAGATTTTCTGTTTTAATCAGGCTGATACAGTGTTATTAGTCGACTGATGAATGTGTTCAGTCGACTGAAGAAAGTGCCTGGAATCATCAAAAAGTTTTTGTTTTATTTTAGTCGACTAATGAGGTCATTGATCGACTGACGAGTTCATCAGTTGACTGATGATGTGTTGCTGGCCTGTAACGGTCAGCTCATTAGTCGACTGATGAACAGTATCAGTCGACTGACGGCCCAACGACTAGTTTTTTTCAGCTTTTCTGTTTTAGTCTTTTTGCTGGGTTTTGTGGTTTTCTCTTGGCTTTAGGGTTTCCTATAAATACCCCCACATATCCTCAGTTCAATTGAACAAGAGAAAAGTTTTTTAAAAAGTGTTTACAAGTTTAGTTTAAAGGTTTCAAAGTTTGTTTATTATGTTTACAAGTTTGTAAAGAAACTTTCACAAGAGCAAAGAGGAGATCATCCTTTGGTGTTTGAGCATTCACTCTTCTCCCTCTCTCTTGTTATTCACAAGAGCAAAGAGGAGATCATCCTTTGGTGTTTGAGCATTCACTCTTCTCCCTCTCTCTTGTTATCCATAGAGAAGTTTTCTAAACTCAATCTAGCTTTACATTTATATTGTTTGATTTTAATTCATTAAGCTAGTGTTTATATTGAGTTAGTTAATTTTATTTACTCATTGTTTACACACACAACCATTGAGCTTATTGTATTTTTATACATTGTATAATTTGGTTTGTAGGGTTTGTGTGACATTGAGTCTGAGCTTACATTGTGTTCTCATCTATTGTAGAGAACAAATTTATATTTGTGAGCTTCATTGTGAGTTGCACATTATATTACACTTGGACACCGAGAGAAGTGGGTGAGAGACGAGGTCGGTTCCAAGAGGAGTAGGGTCGACAGTAAAGCCTAGTGAGAATTGGTAATTTTGAACACTTGAGGAAGGTGATATGAGCTAGGCCAACACTTAGATGGTGTGAAGTGTAATTGCAAGTGTGTAAGTTGTAAAGTTTTCGGTGAACTAGAAAACCGATTGTTGTATTGAGCTATAATTGTGAGGTTCACTTTATAATACACTAGTACACCAAGAGGAGTGTGTGGTGAGAGACGGGGTCGTCCCAAGAGGAGTAGGGGTAGGTGATAATACCTAGAGAGGTTGTAATTCCTAACACGTGAGGGAGACACGGGCTAGAGACCAACACTTGATGTGGTAGTTAGTGTAGTTACATTGTGAGTGATTGTGAACGTTGATCGGTGAGCGTTAAAAACCGACATTGTAGTTAGTGTAGTTACATTGTGAGTGATTGTGAACGTTGATCGGTGAGCGTTAAAAACCGACATTGTGAGGTGTAAACGTTTTTCGTGATTGTGAACGTTGATCGGTGAGCGTTAAAAACCGACATTGTGAGGTGTAAACGTTTTTCGGGTAAGCATAGAAAATACGGTGTGATAATGGAGATATCCTTGAGGTGAGGAGCGGAGACGTAGGTCATTGGGACCAAACTCCGTAAATATATCGTTTGTTTGTAATTGCATTGGCACACTTATTTTTATGTTCATATTTTATATCGCCTTTGTATGTTGCTTGTTGTTTATATTGCCCACTATCTAGTTTAGATTGTTTACCCTTGTGTTACTTGTATATCCTTGCACATATATTTGTAATATATAATTCTTGCTAGGATATATTTGTTAGTAAGTTTTAATTTAGCATAAATCAGATTAGATTAGCATAAACCCTATTCACCCCTCTAGGGTTCCTTCCTAGTGGCATTAGGGGACTTTCAGAATTCTGGTGCTACTTATCATGTGACTCCCCGGAGAGATTGGTTTGCATCTTTTGAGAAACTCGATGGAGGTGTGGTGATCATGGGAAACAATCAGTCTTGTGTTATTTGTGGAATTGGTACCGTCAGGATTCGGATGCACGATGGAGTTGTGAGAGACTTGAATGAAGTAAGCTTTGTTCCTTAACTGAAGAATAATCTTATTTCTGTCGGAGCTTTGGAGGGAAAGGAATTCAATGTGACTTTTGAGAACGCTATAGCTAAAGTTACTAAAGGATCATTGGTAGTGATGAAAGGTATCCGCAATAGAAATATTTATTATCTGAAGGAAAATACTGAGATTGGCCAGGTAGCTTCAGCAGTTTTAGAGGTGGATGCTAGCAGACTTTGGCACTTCAGACTTGGGCACGC